CCCCCCCCCCCCCCAAACTATCAAGAAAGGACAAAGTTGGTCATTTATTCACAGCATTGCCATAGTCTTGCACTCTGCTTTTTGATGAACGGGAAAGAAAAAGGCCCGAGGTAGGAGCAAACACCTACCTACCTCCAGGAGACGGGGAGGACACGTGGTATACAAACATGCCAGTACAGCCCAGAGCTTCTCAGGGGCTCAAGTATTCCAGAATCGCAGCCTGACATGGGGCTTCAGACCAGCCGGACAAGCAGCTGGCTTTATAAAATAAGCATGCTCCTTGCACCCAGGCACTTGACAGCCCCATTGCAACAAGTCAGTGGGCCTAGAGAAAGGCCCAGACCCAAAGCACTGGAACAAGAGAGAACAGCAAACACAGAAGGCCACGTTCCTGCTGCATCTCTGCTCCAAACCTAGGCCTAGCTGTGCTAAGAAACCTGTTTGACCACCTTCAACACCAGACACATTACCAGGGATCCCGGTTTTCTCCGATTTAAAAAAAATCCCCTATTTTCAGTTAAAAAATGTAACCCTAAATCGTATTTTCCCCTGATTTAAATGAAACACCACTAAGATAGATAGATGGATGGACAGATGACTGGATAAAATGGTGTTTCAGTTTAACCAGGGAAAAATGTGGATTTGGGGTTTGTTTTTAACCAAAAACAGGATTTTTTTAACATCAGAGAGAACCAGGATCCCTGCACATTACATATCCTGAGCTGTCTCAGGTCTATTACCACTGCTCCCTAGTGGACCACACTGGTGTTGCACCCATGTGCTGTAAGTTGTCTGCTTTCAAAGGCAAATAAAATCTCCTTTACCTCAAGCAGAAGGCATCTGTGCTCACGAATGCAAGGGTTTGGTCCCCGTTTTTGCTGTGAAACCACAAGCAGCTTCAACGTGCCATGCGGTGACGAGCCTGAAGCCCTGGGTGACCAGGACAGTGTGGTCCAAGTGTAAGCGTTTGCCTTCTATGCGTTTGAGTGAACTTCCCTTTGTGCATTCAAATTAAAATGAAACGTGCAAGCATTTAACGTGTAAAGCATTAAATGTTTATTTACATACAGATACATGGGAAGGAGTTTCCAATGAGTACAAAAATTAAGTTACAAATAAACTATGGAGCTTTATACATTCATCATTCTCGTTGCACAAAATACATTCCCATCATCGTTCTTAACGCGCTTTACCTTTCTCAGTAACACAGACCTGACTCAGAGGAATGCCAAATGCTTGTGACAGCTTTTGATTCACAGTTTGGCAATGTGTTAATATCTTTCCTTTTCAAAAAGAACAAAAAATTCAAAAAAAATAAAAAGGCTTTACGCCCACAAAACCCAAAGATAAATGGTCCTAGAAAATGTATTGCGTTTTCACCACTAAAATGGTTACATGATTATTTCAGCATTTGTGCTTGCTCCACGAGACAGACAGTGTCCCATCATCCTTGTGGCTGTATGATGAGGGCATTTAAACAAGAGGGTTTCTCCTCCACTTCTATACATTGTGCTACACTCACAACCGTTGGGAAAACCCAGCTGTCAGGGCAGCTCTTCACAGAGCAATTTATAGCATGTGAAAATAATGCCATCTGGGAACTTCCTTCAACATTTTGTCTTCATTGGTATGGGTACTGCAAACAAAATGCTGCTATTAGTTTTTAAATACACTTTTCAAGCCCAAATCCAACTATGGCTGATGGTATAAAGGGTACCTGAAAACAATTACCTGGAATCAAATCAAAATTGAAGCGATCAAAATTGGTGATGGCTCAGTTCCTTTTCTGTAACGAACAAAAAACCTACCCTTATAAACCTTCTAAAAATTAAGTAAACTATTGGTATTTTGGAAGAAACGAGCTTAGAGCAAGCGATATTGTAGGCCATTAAAACCTGACTGTTGACATTACAAGTAACATGCCGGGTAGATAATATTACAAAGGAAAATGGTCAGTAAAAGGGGGAAAAAAATTAAATGTCTACTTAAAATATTAATGAATGCAAATGTTAATAGGATGAGTCTTTCCTCGCAGATTAGAGGCAGAAAGACAAACTTGTCATGTGAAAATGCACAGAAGACACAAATTCAATTTGTGCAACAGAATAAGAGTGAAGTGGAGATGAAAGCGCAGCAGGCCGGGTGTTTCCACAGATTGGCAGGGAAATGACAGGAGCAGTTTTCCTGTGTAAACAACTGCGGAAAATGAAATGGAAATGCAATATCCATAATGCAGCTCATTATGCTAAAAACCCGTGGCATGTATTGAAATATTCCTCTTTAATATTCAGGGACAGACTCATGTTTCAACACTGATACAGGAACAAGCTCCAGGATGCTGGCTTGCCCTATTAGACTGCTTCTTTCTTTCCCAAAATGTTTTCAGAAGAAAACTTCATTTTGTTTCAGCTCAGACACTCTGCAAGAGCAGAGCCAGGGACATGCATGGATCGACTAAGGGTCCCCCCATCAGAAACCACAGGTTTTGCTCTCACTCTGCCCAAAGGCCAAACAACATCCCCAGCCACCAGCACCACCAGAGCCAAAGGCTCTCAGACTGCAGAGGCCAACTTGGTTTAATTTATTATCACTTGTCCCACCCGCACACTATTGGACTTTAAATCTATTCTTAACACTGAGGAATGATGATGGCACAAATGCCAGCTCCTCTGCACCCGTGTCTGTAAACTGAGCTGAGCTGGGAGGCTGATGGAGAGGAAAATATGACATCGGCATGTTAGCAGTTTCCCGCATGCGGGTTAAATAAACCAACAGCCCTGAAGGCTTGAATACGCTGCGTTGGCTCAATAGAAGGACTCTCACCTTGCAGTCTACCTACCCATGCTGGGAGTACAACTGAGAGAGCAGGCACTGAGGATAAATGAAAAGCCAAAGCTCTCCTTATGCGTTAGAACAAGTCCGTGGTCTAGCGGCTTGTACAGAGAACAAGGAGCCAGGACTCTGGTCTTATTCCCATCTCAAGTTACCGCGGTACTTGTTTGCACGATCTCCACTGCACTTCAGTTTTGCTGTCTGCACCAAACAGGTAATATCTCCCTCTCCAAGGTGGGGCCCCTGCAGCAGCTGGTGCACAGGAAAAGTCACTGCTTGCAAAGCACAGCGTCTCTGGTGGGAGTTATGGCATGAAATCATCCTCTGCTTGGGGAAGGGAGTCTTTCCAGCACAGGGCACAAAGGTCTGCTCCTCAAAGGGTGCCTCTCAACACAATTAGGCTGTGTTCAACAAAGAGCTTTTCAGACTATCTAGCATTTCAGAGCCACCTACAGTGCTTCCCTGGTACTATGACAGTGAGACTTCAGAACCTCCCAGTCCCAGTATCGAGCAATTTGGCACGGGTGCTAGCAATCTGGAAGATGCACAGCAGAGACATGGCCTAAGCCTAATGGCAAACACTTTCACAGCCTTAAGCAGCAGTGGAAAGGGGGAAACACAAATGAAAAATGCATCCAGTACTTCAGCCAGGATCCCAGAGAGCTTCGTTTCATTAACGAGTGCACTAAACGGAACAGAATTCGAGTTGGTCTAGTAAAAGAGATCAGATTTGCCCAAAGGGCCTTGTCTGCCTAAACAGAAAGCCACTTTATCTCCTCAACTTGCTGGAAAAGGGAGTCTTTGGAACCAATTTGACGGATTGGTTTCCAGTCGCATCTGGAGTGTGCAGAGGTTTTTAATAGCTTGTCATTTAATAGCAAGTACAGAAAGGGATGCCAAGCAAGTGCTCCATTTGCAAAGGGAAATCTGTGTTTCTTAATGCTGCGTAAGAAGGGTTTTAAATCCACAGCTTCCACCTTTTTCATACTTGGCTCACATGGCATAACGTTCCTGTTTAGTCAAGTTGAGGCTTGCCTGGATGAGGGGAACCAGCAGCGGTGGAACAATATCAATGTGATTACATCAGTACGAGTGCCTCATGTAGATCCAATAGGCAGACAAAGACAAATACACAACGCAGCGCATACAGCTGCCGTTCAAGTGGCCGATAAACTTGACCAGCTTTAACAGGAGGAGCGCCACTTAGAACATGCTGCTCATTCCTATAAATTGGGATGGAGTGATCTCCCCCCAGCCATCAAAATCAGAAAAGCAAGTCGACCCTTCCACATCGATTACCCTCTGCTATTACATTACGGAGCTGCGCCTAGCAGAAACGAACCGTAGCAACAATAATCTTGCTCTAAGGAAGAGGTACCTGAGCTTAGAAACTAGAGAGCAGATTTATGAGCTGCATTTGCTTTGCATCCCAAAAATAAAATTAAACGGCATGTTTGATGCAACATCCTTCTGCACCTAAAGGAAAGGGATAAAATCCAATGAAGTCAACAAGAGGTTTCTGCCAACTTCCGTGAGCTCTGAATCAGGCCCTAACTGACCCAATTTAGCCGTTTGTGTGGGCTGCCCTGCCAGTTCTCTTTTGCATTGTACGAGAACAACTCTGTGTTGCTTGCTGGGTAGATTTGACAGGTAGCCAGCCAGCTTTGTACTTCAAGCAGCACAGTCAAGGCGCACACACAAACAACCAAGTCCAATGCGAATCATGAGTCGAGCAAAAAGCAACTGGATTTAAAAAGAAATATATATTTAAGAGGACTGAACACTAAAGAACTATTTCTTCTAGAAGGAGCGCACCAAGTTGCATCGTCCATTTTTAGCTCATTATAAATCAGGCCAGGTCCTATCCCACCTATTGAGCACGTAAGTGGACTTCCACCCCTAAGCGTCAGTCCCTGAACACCCACTAGTGCATCTGCTTCTGTAACAGGCTGAAGTCTCACCCCGAGGACTGAGTCACAACAAAGCAGTGAGGAGGAGGACCACCCACCCCACTTTTTTATTAACAGGTTTTCAAGGACTCACGCAGAGTGGAACAGGATCATCCTTAGGTGCCTAAGAAGTGGAATATAATCTGGCCCTTACTGTTTTCTTCCATCACAAAAGGGCTGTAACACTCAGTCGGGCATGTTATCAAGAGCAAAGCAGTTACAGCTTGCTGGGCAGACAGACTCAATTAGCTTTTCTTTGGCAACCTCTGCTATGTACAGACCCATTTGTGAAGGTGCCACAGTTCCCCTGAAGACAAACAGTCGGTGAGATACCGCACGCTTGCCATGGCTACTTGGGCTTCTGACTGCGTTCAGCACTTCGGTGCTTTTGCCATTGACGCCTGGTTTCAAACCGAGTTTGTTCTCTTGAGCAAGCCAGTTCTGCCAGGCCAACAGCTCGTTACGACTGATGTCCAGTTTATCCACTTGCCCTCTCCATTCAGCATGAAAAGGAGTTGAACAAGCATTAGTCCCTGGGGGTGGGAAGTGACTTCTACAAACCATACAAAAAAACAATAGTTTTGGCTATAAACGAACTGCAAGCCTTATCAGCAAAAGCTCAGGATGGACCTTCATGCTCAGTGCGCTGCATCACGAATCACCGCTTTCTATCATTTCCAACCACCGTCTGCAGTCAGGACATGAGTCTGCAGCCGCTCTTATGGATGCTGAAGAAATTCAATAGCCATTAGCCACTAAACCTAGACTAGCAGGAGCCAACTGCAACTGGTATAGTGATGGCTGTTTCTATAGCAGTATAGACAGCTCAACACATTTAGAGAGTCACTTCAGGTATTTGATAGCCCAGAACCAAGCATCGTGTCAGCTAATAATTCACCACGTAGGATTTTAACTGGATGGCAAGCACAAAGCCACTTAGCATTCATTGCAAGCACGTAAATCACAGTGTATTCAGATAACGAGCCTACAGCTCAACTCGGAACAGCAATTGCAGGAGCGGGAAGGCCATGCATTACCCTGCTCTTTTTAACATTTTCACCATTCTGTTTTTCCTATTGCAACCCTTCACCCTGTCCCTTCTCCGGGAAAGGATCCAGGCGTTTCTCAGCCCGAGCTCACAAAGAGATGAGACATGAGCCATCGTATGAGACGCTGTGGAAACAGATAGGAACAATAAGCAGCCAGTGTCTATTCCAAAAAGCTTGCAACCTAAATGCATGATAGGAAGTGCTGGAGCCCATTTTACAAATGGAGACCCGAGACAAAGAAATGAAGCGGCTTGTCCAACATCACTCAGGTAAATCAGGGACTGAAAGACTAGATTTGAGACGGTCTGATTCCCGGTCAGATGTCTTGACTGCTCCCCCTCTATGTCAGTCTTGCTGGCATTTGCGTTGACAGACCATATTGGCTTCTCCTTAGAGCTACTCATTGCCTTAAACCAATGAGGCAAAACGGAGGATTTTTATTTTTTTTTGACGAAACTTGCCACAACATGAAGTCACGCATAGACACTGCTGATGTGCCCTTTTGCAGGAGGTGGAACTTCCCTGAAAGGACTAGAACGTGGGAAATGGCAAGAAGTGCTCCCATAGCATGGGGCTGAGCGGGTTATAAAAACAAGACAAATGAAGATTTATGAGAGCAATAAATCTGCCAATGAGTTATTGCAACAAAATACTGTTTGTTAAACTCAAAGCGATCAGAGATGCATCTGCAGGTCCGCTACCTATAAAAAGGGGGGAGGGGACGTTCTTGGTTTCCCACCTCGTAAAAACGGTGAATGTGGCAGCGCCAGTTCGGCTCCGAACACATTGTAAATAAGCCCTTCACTCAAGCAAGGCTCTTAAAGTGTCTGGGGCCAGAATGAGCTAAGGAAGGAATAATTTGAGATTTGCTACCCTGCCCTTACGGACTTACATGCCCTACTAGTTCAATTAAAATAGTGTGGTCCATTAGGAAACACACCATCATTGTCTAACTATTGAACTCGTCTAATAAGAAGCTTCAGGAAAGGCAGAAGGACCTGACGCTTGGCAATCCATAGACAGCATCTGAAATCAAGAGGGGAAATAAGCAGAAGGAGAGAGGAAGGGTCAACTTATTAGAAACTTCAGATTGAATATGTAAGAAAATAGCAATGCTGACTGCTAAGAAAGACCCATGGAAAGAGCTAATTTGTTCCCAGCTCCTCGCTCAATCGACTGTTTCCCAGTGCCACTGTGAAATTCTTTCCTTAAAATTTACAGTCTTTTAAAAATACACTTACAGAAAAAGCAAATGGTTCCCCCTTGCAGCACTGATCTAAATAGGCTTTGTTTACACCCAGCAGGGACTGTGGGATTTACTTTGTCAGACTGTGTCCAGTATAGGAAACAAAAGCATTGCACAACACAGACTGGTCTGGTAACAGACTAGTTAGTCCAGTGCAATTTAAAAGACAGCATTAGTGAAAATACTACAGGATTTTATCCTTGGATGCAAGAAGAGGAAAAACAAGCCCCATGAGACACCTGTTCCACTTCCCCAGTCTTCCTAGCACCTCGCCCAAGTCCCCCTGCCATGCGATTTCAAAAAGGCTAGTTGCTGGAGAGGAAGAATTAAAAAAAAAAATACATACAATACTTGAGTTAGATGGCATTATATCACATGGCACATACAGTGAAACTTGCTTTAAGCAATCACCAAAAAGACATGCAAAAGTCAATTGTTTGGGAGTTGGATGGCCTTTAAGCAGACAATCAGGGCAATGGCCTTTTGAGGGTATTCTAAGGAGGTTAAAAAAGGAAATCTCAGTGCAGGTTTTGCTGTATGACCAAGCCCAGCCAAAAAGCCAAGGCGAATACATTTTTAAATCCCCTGGGATTACAGTGTAAGGGGGAAAAAATGGTCCATATTATAGCAAGAACACATGGATTATGAAATGAATATATTATGCCCTTGATACTTACAGAGATACTTTTAAAGATCAAAGGCACAATATGATAAACCCTAAATAATCTGTTCAGGAAAACATGAGAAAGTATTTTAAAACACTATTTTTATTCTCAAGATTCACTCATTGGCAGCTTTTATATATCAATACAAAAGCCCAGTCATCATCTTTAGTAAATGATAATCGAGCTGATTAATGCTAAATTACAACATATCACAGCCACATAGTTACCAAGAGTTTTCTATTCAGATTAACAGAACTGATGCCAAACATTTAAAAATGATAGTCCATGTGTGTGTCCAACTTCTCGCCCAATTTTGCTTAAATGCAAGAACCAATGCATATTATTAAAACATGGCACTAGAGGAACAATAGGACAAAAATCCATAATGCTTCCAACGTTGAAGTTTCCAGACAAAGAAATGGACTAAGAAACAGTTACACACATCAGAGTCTGAGACATAAGGATACAAAACAAGAAAATTAAATGACTTGACAGTCCTGAATCTGAAAGCTACTATATAATAGAGAGCAGATGCCAAAAAGATACCTTGAGTTACTTCTCCGAGGTCCATAACATGGCTGCTGCATGAGTAAGATGCAAAATAATAACACTTGCCATTTGTTGTCATTAAGCTTAAAAAACCCTACAAAAATTGTACACCACCTTCTCAGCAAGAACTGTAGCTACAGGCTTTTGTTCCACAAATGCATTGTGGGCTGCCATTTCAAACTGTGCTCTCTCTTTGAACACTTCTACGTGATCAATGCAAGCACAGTATTTTGGTCATATATGATCTGGGTTGGTTTGTTTTTTTTAACTCCATCACTAAGTCTTCCCAAAACTAATTTAGTACATTAGGACATTACTAGTTAACAGGGCTTTGTTTTGTTTTTGACTTCAGCAGTCTTCTCACCTTACATTTGACATCAAAGAAGCATAGCCCTTACCCACTATGCTCAGGCCTAGAAAAAAAGAGGTAATGATATTTTATGAACAGTGCTTATTAGTGTACTTCTGCTAATTACTCTAAGTTACACATTCAGAGGACAGCAATGTAATAAAACTATATCTGGTCTATGGTATATTCAACTGAATTGCTAGCACCAAAAGGGGTGTGTCAGCCTGTATCCACATCTTTCTTTCCAAAGAGCTGTTCGTTTGGAAATGCCGGTACATATATTTTTAATTCCAAACTCACAAAAATGTCCGCAGATGAGAGACGTAACACTATTTCAAAACATACCGCTGAGTCCTGCATCAGGATGCTCCAGACATATTCTATATACACGTCCTACGCATTCATCTGGCTGGCAGCCCAGAAGGATGCTAGTATAGTCTAAGAGTTAACGGTCATCAGCTGTAAAATAAGAGGACCGGATGTGGTATAAAGCATTGTAATGCAGGAGAGATCCCACATCCCACCCTTCAATACCATCGCCAGGGTGTTCCAGTCATCTTCAGAAGTGACGTAGCAACTCACTGCATACCACTGAGAGCCTTGCATGAGTTTCCTCCCTAACCAACTCCAGCAACAGCAAAAAACAAAAGAAATTAAACCATATTATATTCTGCTACGTGGCCCTACAGGCGGAGTGGTCAGCCTACCATGCTTTAGGATCAGGAACTTGACTTGGAGGCAAGTCAGATGAATCAGAGTTGCAAGGATTGCCTTCACTGAGATAAATCCCAGCAAAAAGAAAAAATTAAAAAAAAAAATCTTCTTGGCCCATTCTGGGGGCATCTTGTGGCAGCTCTTAATTAAAATTACAGCAAGTCAAATAGCTGATACTCTTCCCCTCTCCTGGCAATGGGGAGGCCACATTGTTTACAAGTGTATTCTGTCTTGCCTCGTTGATCAGCCGGCAAGCCAAGTCCAGAAAGAGTTTTTCCACATTATCTGACTCTTTAGCAGAGGTTTCCAGATAGTACATGTCTTGGGCTTCCGAAAACTCTGCAGCTCTTTGCTGGGAGACTTCCCTTCTATCAGCTAAGTCAATTTTATTACCTGTGCCAATAAAAGATTGTAGAAAGGGAATTAATTTTACTTGCACGACAAAACCGCCGAAAATGGATTGCAAAGGAAGGAAGCGTTGGCTACCCCGTGCTCTGCGATAGGGTCATTTTAAGCAAACGATTGTTATTTTAAAGCGGCAGCATGGAGCACACTGCCCCCTCCCCTAAGTGGATTCTCTCAAACACCCAGCCAAGCCCACAACCCATTTAATAAAACTCACTTAATGGAGTAGGCCCTGTTAACATGCAAGCCATTTGGCTTTAATTTAGCACTAATGCACCCGTTTAATATCAACCCATGTTAAAAGATTTCTTTGTTAACGTCTATTGAAAAATTGCTCATTCTTGCTGTAAGGAGCACTTAAAATGTCAGTTACTGTGTGTTGGGGCCAACAACGCAGTATTTTCTCACATGATTATGAGCTTCAAAAACAAGCTTTGCAGAGTTGGCCCTGCTCCTGTTCTATTTTTATATTTGTTTTATTCATTACACAGGGACTGAGCAAACGATCTCTAGCAAAACACAGCGAGGTGAGACGAGTGTGCACTCACCCTTCACGGAGTTCATCCTAGCTTACAGCAGGACAGATCACGTATTGGAAAATGCCAGGGCAAACATTTTTGTCACTGAAATTGCCAGGAATCAGGCTTCATTGTATGCGATGTTTATGCAGGGCACTAGCTTCGTAAGTGGTTGTTTTGGAAACAGAAAATCCTTTCCCTGACAATCCCCTTCTCAGCGGTGCCACCCCCCACACCCCCAGTTAGGGCACCCTAATTTCTTGGATGCGTTCTCTGTTAAAAGGTACAGTGATAAAGAGTTAACAAGTGATCACTGGAAGCTAGCAGTACGTTGCCACATTATAGAAGATTATAAAGCCATCACTAAAAGGTGCGGTGGCTGATTATAAACAACCTATTGAACTCTAACACATCTATTCATCATTTACCAACCGTTTATACAAATGTTCCCACATGAGCCAGACCCCTAAAACACAGTGCAGCTGGCTGCTGCTTACAGCAGCACTTGCATTGCTTGTGTGCGTGTGCGTGTGTCAGGCTGCCTGGAACCTCAGCCGAGTGTCTCGTTAGTTATTTTTAAACCTAAACAAACACCCCAGATTATGAAATAAAATGTTACTTTTTTTTTTTTTTTTTTTTTTTTT